TAGGTAGGTAGGTAGGTAGGTAGGTAGATAGATAGACAGACAGACAGACAGACAGATAAATTCATTCATTCATTCATTCATTCAAAACTTGTATTTTGGCACCTTCTGAAACCCCTCCATTATGAGTAGTTTATGGATAAAATGTTTTGGATATCAGTGGAGAATAGCAGTTAGTAATTCAGTATATCCTATCTGGCTCTAATTCTGTATGAAATAGTGATGTGTATCTCAGAAGGAAATTTTGAAGGCACAGGAGACACTATGACACATGAATGCATAATTTGGGGGGGGGGGTTTCATTGTGGGAGGACTATCATGTAATGGTAGCCAAAAATCAGGATTTGCTAGTATCTTTCCTGATTAGCACAAATAGGACATTTAAGATTATTCCTTAGAAAGCTATGCTTAAATATTTTTTCTCTTAACAGCAGGATGAATGATTAAAGTAGCTCAATGCAAAAATGTTGTGCCATTCAGAAGATGCTCCCCGCTTGCTTGTTTCCTCAAAGCTGGCATGTGTAAGGGTTGAGTAAGCTGTTCTTCTGTCTCTGTACCAGTCAAGGCAAAGCAGATCCTTTTGGGGTTGGGGCAGTGTTGAAACTTGCAAGTGGACCATTGTTCTTTTGGCATAGCTCTTGCCTCATCAGCTTTCTCAACTCTTGGGTGTAAGCACGTCATTAGTAGTCAGCCTTTGGTGCAGCCGAGTCATGTAGGGAAATGAAAACAACACCCTGGCCATGTCCACCCTGATCCCCCAAGTCAAACACAATCCTGGTGCTGCCTTCAATTAAATTGAGTTTGACGCCCCTGGTCTAGAAGCCCTCTTTGTTTAAATGTGCAGAAAAATTGCACATTAATTTCTTCAGAGGTGGGTATTGTGCATACAGCATTCTACATATCTTTCCTTCTCAGAAGAATTCAACAGCGGCTTTTAAAAGCTTCCCCAATCAGCTTCTGTGCAATTACACAAGTACAGAAGTGGTTTTTTTTTTAACAAAGGGATTGAACTGGGATGGTTGCTAGCTTTTTTTGGGTGGGGGGAATATTGATGAGGGGATTGTTCTTATGAGAGACTTTATTACAGTTCAAGGGACAAGACTGAATTATGTCTTTTGCATTCTTATTGACTGGCTTCTGGTGGGAAGCATTTATTTGCTCATGGAGATTAGAAGATTTTCATTGGATTATTGGGCCAGTATGAGCCAACATAATTTCATGGCTGGCTTCAAAATAATGTGCAGACACTCCAGAATGAAATTGGGGCTACACAGAAGTGTCCATAAGCGTCAGCCAGACATTTGAAACAGGAACACATTTGTTTAAAACGTGTATGAATTGATTTACTTGTATAGGTGTAAATTTAGATTTCCAAATTTGAGATTGTTTAGGATCTAAAAAGCAAAACTTAAAATTTGCTCTGAAATTGAAGCCACAGTCATTTTTCAGTAGAGGTGTATCTTGTGAGTGGCCAGGTATTCCATTGAGCAAACTGATCAATGATTTCTGCATGTTACATAATTTAAATCTCAGTTTACAACAGGTTTATTCCTGCCTGGGAATAAACAGGTTTATTCCTGTTTGGGAAACACCAAAACTGGTAATAGGCAGTCCAGACCCAAGAGATTATTTCATCCTCTGATGACCTTAGGAACACATCAGTTATGTATTTATTCTTTCTGAAAGTGTAAACCCATGTAGAACAAGCAAATTCTACTTTACAAGATCTCTATCAGAATTCAGTCTCAATTTATCTATTTTGTCCACTATGTCAGTACAACCAGACTGTAGTTCAGAGCATCCAACGTCTCCTGATTCATAAGGAAAAGAAGAGATGAATGCTGTTAGCTTACTAACAACATCTAACATGAGTAATGCTACTGATAAGTAGTGTCATGTGACATCTTACACTGTTGCTTGCTGGGAGCAGAGTTAGAGTCACCTAATTCTACTTCCTGAGACAATGCTTTCAAATTAGAGAGAAAATAGTACAGCACAACATTTCCAGTCGCCTCATAGAAACAGGCCCAGAGAATACCCTAGTCAGCTATGAAAATTACAGACCAAACAATCAACATCAATAAAGCCCCATATCTCTATTTGGGTCATGTATCAAGGCAGAGATGGTTGATTCAGTTCTAGAGCTAGCAATGAACCCAATCTGAAAAGAGCGGTGTTTCTTGACATACTAGACTGCATCAGTGTTGGGATTCAAATAATTTTACAACCGGTTCTCTGCCCTAATGACCAGCTGCGTAGGTGATTGTGTGACTGCATGGGCATGGCCAACTAAACATCATTCAAGTCGATGGGCACTTCACCTTAGTTGTTACAATGTAATAAGGGTTAACCGGAGAGGCAGTTTCTGTAAACAGGGCAATAAAGATTAGGCTAAAAACAACACCAGAATGTTTTCTTCCTGCCTTCCTTTCAGGATTAGCCCTGTAAAGTGGGGAAAAAACAAAAGAAGATTTCTTCCAACAACCAGTTCTCCAAACTGCTTGGAAAGTTAACAACCGGTTCTCCCAAATGGGTGCGAACTGTCCAAATCTCACCATTGGACTGCATGTATTAATTAAAAGTTCTAAATATTTGTGAGATTTTTTTTTCTGAAAAAGCATCTCTAAGATTACTCCAACTGGCTTTATGGCTTAAAAGAATCTTAAATTATGGGTCAGTACTATAACAATCATACTGAGAATTGTTTGACAAATAGTTAGTGATAACTTCTTTATTTAATTCAAATCAGAGTTGCTGTTATTGTTGGTGCACACTATTAGGTAGAATTGGAGCAGTGTATACTTTTTCCTTATATGTTTTGCATGAACCTTGATACAAAAAAAAATATAACCACTAAATTAAATTTCATTGGAATAAAACTGGAATCGTTTTAAACAATAAAGTGGTGCCACCAATGCTTGAATAAACTTTAATTAGTAACCTTTTAGTTAAGATTGCAAATTATCTAGAAATTAAAGACAGTCCTAAAATATTTAGGCATGTTAATACTTTGAAATAATGTAAGAAACACCCCACCTTCAATTGTTTTAGCATACTTATGTAATGGTATGTGGGAATGACTTTGGGAGACAGAAGGAAGAGGCACAGCCAGCAGAATGATCAAATAAGAGGCAGGTGAGCTCATAGAAGAAATTGGGGGAGATGGCACACATCTCACAAAGGACCCTCCTTAGTTTCTTGGGTTATAAGGGTGAAGGGGAAAGATGTACTTTTGGATTTGCAAGATTCTGTTAACGTAACATTACAATAAAGTAGAATTAGCACATATGGGTATGTTTCCTGTCTGGGCTATCTCACAATAAAATATTTCAGAATGAGGAATTTCAAAAGTTGATAGCTGTGAAGTCTAACCTTGACTCTTCTAAATGCAAATGTTTTAAATTAAGATTAAGTTGTATGGTATACATTAGTATGGAAATTATGAAGTTGTAATCGGTTTAATATTTTTAAAACATCCAGATAGGAGTAAAGTTGTATCTGAAAAAGTCCTTTTTCACATTCTCTTTGTGTTTTAATTTTTTCCTTTTTTCCATAGTTTCACAATCATACAAGACCTCTCCCCACCAAAAAAAATCTCTCTATTAAATTAATTTTTCCAATAATGAAATGGCCACTCTTTATTACATTTACATTTTGAGCACCAGATTATCCACTAAGCTTGGGGGTCATTATGTCATAAGATTAACCAAACCAAACAATTTTAATTATACTTTATTCCAGCAAATGCCTCTTGCAAAAGATTAATCTTTCAAAACTTACTAAAAATGATCTTGAAAAATTGAACAGAAGGAGAAGTTACCATTTTAAATTGTTGTCTAAAGTATGAATATATTTCTAAAAAAAGAAGTGGTTAGTAATTGCTTTGTCCCTGTAGCTATCAGTTGGCAGCCTGTTGACATTGATAGCTTTTCTTCCTCTTTTTGTCACCTCTTAATTAGACAAGAAACCTTACAATTCAGGACCGCAAGGTAGTTCTTTCCAATTTTTCCCTTCTCTCATTCTCTGCAATGTTTCCTGTCTGTTTCAACCTGTAGGAAGAAGGAGGAGGTTCAGATGATAAAGCCATATCTAAGCTTCTTTGGGTAAGCCTGACATGAATGCATAGCAGCTATTCTAGGCACGCAGGCTTATTGTTTTCTGGTTATGGCCAGCTTCATGTTCAAGCACTATGTGATAGTGGTGCATCACAATTATGGGCACTTCTTTGTTTCTAGCAAGAGCCAAATACATCACTAGCCAAAGTATTGCTGGTGTGATTAAAAGTCATTCTCCATGCTTGCTTTCTTCAAATCTTTCTATCATCACTAATCCTTCATCACTAATTCTTTCTATGGCTGCATCTGAGTGGCTATAATAAGTATAACATTCTTGCATGGATTTTCTTGTTTGGTTATTACAAGCATGTTGGCTAGATTGACAAATCCTGAAACACTTGAGTGTAAGAACGTTCATCAATTATTTGATGTAAACTCATTTCTTCTTTTCTTCTCTTCTCTGTCTAACATATCGTTTCCATGTCTTTCTAATTCTGTCCTATGCTTCTGCTCCCCGTTCATAGGAACCTGTCTATGCTTCTACTTATTCTCCTGCTATACTTGCTGCCCATAAACTTCATTCCTTCATACCTATTAATCAGGTGAGCAAATCTTGCATACTCTAGGCTAGGTCTTTAATTGAGCACTTATTCAACAAAGGTTTCCCCACCTCCATGTATATCAATCACATCTTTTCTGTCTGGAAGTTCTTAGAATTGTATTCCAATATATCAATAGTTGGAGAAATTTGTATAGAGTAAGACTCATTTCTTCTCTTCATTCTCTCATTTTCAGTTCTAGCTCACTTCTTAGACATCAGTGATAATAAGCATAACAGATCATTTACATTGTTTTCCAATATACAGTGTGTGAGAGAGCGATAGTGGGGGGGAGAGAGAGAGAGAGAGAGAGAGAGATGCCAATCAGCTTTAACACTTTTCTTGCCTAGATTTTCAAAAGTGGCTATACTATTGCCTTCTTCCTAGGACTGAGAGTAATTGGCCCAATGTCACCCAGCTGTTTTTGTGGGACCCAGAATGTTCAGTCTCCCAGTTTCTAGCTTGGTGCTTTAATCATTATATCAAACTGACTCCATAATCTGTAAAGTCAATAGTTTAAAAATATAAGAGTTTGCTTTCAGATTAGGAATTCATAATACATTTTGAACTGCAATGTGATAGAAACCTTCATAAAGTACATTTTATAGATATAAATTTCTTATCTCTTTAATCCTAAATTAAAGAAGGCAGCAATAGTGGAAGTTATGATTTATTTGCTTAATATATTTCACTACTTACATAGTCAAAGGTACTCCAAGAGTGATGTGCATATGATCAGTTACAAACACTGCCCACAAGCTGATAAAGTTTAAGGAGGAAAAAAACAAGAATTCTTAGAAATCTTTAATAATCTTACAGTATAACAATGAAAATAATTTAGTGAAGGAAAAAATGAGTCCAGAAAGAACCAGTGAAATTGTTTTAATTTCCCTTTAAAAAAAAAAAAACCTTCAGAAGTTTGCCTAATCACATTCTCCACAATAAATATCTTCAGTCAACATTCTGTTATTATTCTGGATATTTCTTAGCTCTTTTTCTCTAAAACAAACTCAAGTCTTCTGAATATACCTAAGAACATTTTGTATAAGAATCCAGAAGCTTGAACCAAGTTTCTGGGTTGGTAGCTAGATTTGCAAATTCTATTTTGCATTATCTTTGAAAATAACATTTATTAGTGTGAAGGCACCATTGTGACATGAAGTTCTTGATCACAAACACAAACCATTGCTTGATGTTCTAGATTTAAATTACCTTAAGTATGATAGTTTCTCTTTGTATTGCCTTAACAATTCAGATTGGAGATCTTGGAGTCCCTGCTTCAATTCTGACCCTATTTTTGTGCTGTATTTCTTTCTGATACTTGGATTTCTTTTACCTTAAGTCAATAGTGCTAGTTTGACACAACCAAACCTCCCCCCCCCCAAGGAGTTTGACCATCATCTTTGGAGATGGAAGGTGAAATATTGACTTTTCTGCCTGTTTCTTTGGCTTAGCAATCACTGAAATGAAACAGTTTTGAAAAGCAATGATCTCAAATATCATTGTATTCGGCACAGTTCTCAGAATATGCACATGCATTATTTGTGTGGCTGGATTTTACTTATATGAAGTGAGGGGTTTTTTTTAAATCTAGAGACTCAAATGGGTGTAAATGGCACTTATAGGCTGTGTATTTTTAGGAGTATAAGATGCACCTGTTCCCCCCCCCTCCCAAAAGAGCATGGAAATGGTAGTGTGTCTTATACACTGAATGCAACCATTTTTAGCCTCTTGAATCCCATTTTTGTGAAAAACAATCCATTTTTCGCAAAAGCAGAGGCTTTTTTGCCTTTCCTCAGCCCCTAGCAGCCCTCTGCAGGCTTCGGCAGGACCAGGGCAAGGCAGAAACAGGGGCATTTTTGCCTTGTCCCAACGCTGCTGAAACCTTCAGGGGGCTGAGGGAAGGCAAAAACTTTTTTTCTTACTTACCTACCTCTTCGAAATCTTGGTACATCTTATACACCGGTGCATCTAATAGTCCAAAAAATATGGTATATTAAAATTTACATTACTGTAGAAATAGACTTTACTTTATACAGTAAGGCATTTATTTCACTTTGTTCTGTATTCTTCCTTTAATATTTGTGAGCTAAGATACCATCCCAAAGATCACTTTTTGTATATTTGTGTTTTCCATCATGAAGCATTTCAGCATTGTTTATAAGGTCAAAAGTTAATATGATCTTAAGTAGATCATCTCTGGGGTATCTTACCAAATATTCTCACCTCAGGAATGAATAATCTTAACTTTATGCCTTCTATTTTATTGAATTCTGAATTGTTTGTACAAGCAATTCTTTTTATGAGAATTATGGTTATGAGACAGGGATAAATTATTCAGTTGTATCTTATCTTATTCAGATGACAGGATAAAGGTATCTGTCCAGAACATGTGATTGCAAGTTAATGATCCTTACTATAAAATGCATGGGTAATATTTAAATTATTTTTTAATGCCAAATAGCAGTAGCACTTAGACTTATATACCGCTTCACAGTGCTTTATAGCCCTCTCTAAGCAATTTACAAAGCCAACATATTGCCCCCAACAACCTGGGTCTTCATTTTACCAACCTTGAAAGCGTGGAAGGTTGAATCAACCTTCAACTGGTCAGAATCGAATCCCTGGCAATGGACAGAGTTAGCCTGCAATATTGCATTCTAGTCACTATGCCATCATGGCTCCAAACATATAAGAGTTGTTTGGAGTTGGGTAGCATCAAATTGAATTTATTAATTAATTAATTAACTTTGTTGCTATAGTCCTATTTGATTCTTTGTCCTGATGTCCTTCAATTTCTGACATATAGCTCCTTGTATACTCATTAAAGCTCAAGTGAGACTTTTTGTCAATAGAAGTCCTGCATCCTTCTGGGGGGAAGTTTTGGGTTGTATGATTTTGTTCATTTGTGCAAGAATCATTTGTACTATTAGTTGCATAATATAATACATGGCTCTTTTTTGTTGTATAGTGGAAGTGAATCCAGGGTATGTGGATGTGCTTTATGATTCTACAAATACAGAATATTTTGTCAGGCTCTTATAGAAAAATTCTTATTTCAACTGATGGTCTACATCTTTTAGTGGGATTATATTGTTTATAACAGAATATATGAATTTGATGTATATTTGTCTTGTTTTTATAAAAGCATAAACTTATGTGGCAATCCTTGTTTTTTTCAGGATTTAGCTGGTGTTTTGTTTTTTTTGCATTTGGACTAGTAAATATTTATTAGCACATAGCTAATAAAAAATGTATAACATTATTTTTTTAACATGTCCTTCTTGCTTGTAGCCTTACGATTTATACTGATATTTTTTCCTGATTGCTTATTTGTATCCTATGACTATCATTAAGAATTGCACCTTATGATTCGTGACGAATGTATCTTTTCTTTTATGTACACTGAGAGCATCTGCACCAAAGACAAATTCCTTGTATGTCCAATCATACTTGGCCAATAAAGAAATCTATTCTATTCTATAAAGAATTCTATAGAAAAAATTCCCAGGTGCTCACAAAACTTCAGCTGATTTTATTCTATTAGAAATCCTACACTTTGGCAAAGGACCATTAAATATAACAAATATTTTATTTTATTCTGCCTTCATTTTTAATTAAAATATGTAGCAAATCACATGGTTGTGCAGAAAGCAATGAGTGAAATAAGTTGGAGGAATAGTTTAAAAAGTTCTTAGTATTTAATCTACATGGTTCTCTCTAAATCTTGAGGTTGTTCTACAATAAGCGAAGTACAGGTTCATTCATTTCCAAGTGGTAACTAGTCCATATACACGCAAATTAAGAAAAAAAATCACCAGTTAATATTTTTGAGAAAATTATTTCTTGTGACATTTCTGCTAAAAGAAAGATAATACAGTTGTTGGCAATGCAGATGAATACTGCTGAAGAATTGTTGATTAAAGTGGAAATATTACCGCTTGATCGTGACCCGTCAAAACTGCGGTAGACGAAAGCATGTACCTGACGTCATCAGCAGCGCGACGAAAAAAATTAAAAATAAATTAAATTGAAATTAAAATTAAATTAAAGCAAGCCGATTCACATAAAGGTAAGGGTTAGGGTTAGGGTTAGGGTTAGGGTTAGGGTTAGGGTTAGGGTTAGGTTAAGGGTTAGGGTTAGGTTTAGGGTTACGTTAAGCGTTAGCGTTAGGTTTAGCGTTAGGTTAAGGGTTAGGTTTAGGGTTAGGTTAAGGGTTAGGTTTAGGGTTAGGTTAAGGGTTAGGGTTAGGTTTAGGGTTAGGTTTAGGGTTAGGTTTAGGGTTAGGTTTAGGGTTAGGTTTAGGGTTAGGTTAAGGGTTAGGTTTAGGGTTAGGTTTAGGGTTAGGTTTGGAGGGGTTAGGGTAAGGTTTTCGCTTTAATTTTAAATTTACCGCTCACAGCGCGATGTTTTCGTCGTGCTGTGATGATGTCACGTACGCGCTTTCGTCGAGCGCGCTTTTGTCTACCGCGGCTTTGTGGTGGAACCCCCCTTGATAAATGGATTGCTTTTATCTGAAAAAGGCATAATTTGTATTCTCCCAAACTACCAACTGTCATTTTTTCTTTATATAGAAAGGCACTATACATAGTAATCAACCAAATACTAAACATACAAAGGTTATTGACATTTAAATTAAATAAATAACCAGGTTATTTATTGTTGCACACTATGCTTGGGAACAAGTTTTGATATAATTTTGAGAAAATAAACAATTCCCATAGGACAGACTATTTGGAAAATTACAAATTCAATATCTGGCATTTCCAGTTAGATTAAATGGCAGGTGAGGGGGAAAATATCCATGACTGAAACCTTGGATAAGATCATCGTATATGAAGCAGATCAAGGCTGTGATACAATTTTGCAACAGTTTTATAGATGCATTCATTGTACCTTGAAGGCCAAAAAAGGGACTTTTGTTTGATTCAATTGTATTATGAAAGAAAATAAGTACAGAGTACTTTGAAATCTTTAAAGTTCAAAATTTTAGTATAGCCACTTGAAACCCTAATCTAATCACTTAATCCTATCAAGAGATATATAAAATATTGATAACTACATTTATTCTTTGAAAAAAAAACAGAGGAATGTGGATACCTGTGAAAATCAAATGACAATTGAAGAAAGAAAGCAATTAATAAGTGTTCGAGAAGAAGCTTGGAAAGCTAAGGGCAAGGGAGCATCGAACGATTCTACCCAGTTTACAGTGGCTGGCAGAATGGTTAAAAAAGGTCAGCAAATTTATTTAATTTTATTTATTTGTTTGTTCAATTTCTATAGCTGCCCTTCTCATCCAAGTGATTCTGGGCAGCTTACAATTGTAAAACAGTTAAAACAATTAAAAACAAGGAATCAGTAAATTTATCCTGTGTATCTGGATTTTTAAAAAGTTAGAAACCTGAAGCAACCAAAAAAGATTTTGCCAAGGATTTATGTTGCCTTCATAATTTTTTATTTTGATCTGCATATTATTTAAGTAGTCATTTCAGTGATATTTAAAATTCAATTGGGCAGAATATCACCAGCAGCAGAAACCGCAAACTATTTCTGTTCTCAAGTCTGCAATGTTTTTATATCTTGATGTACATAATAGGTTTCCATTGAAATGAGAAACAAAATACACCATACTGGAGTGAGCGAACTGATCACATCTCATGAAACCACTTAAATGAAATATCATACTATTTTTACGATGCATTTATATTTTCTTCCAGCAGCTTAACTGATGGGCTTTTCTATTAGGAATAAAGAAATTTTCTTGGTTTCTTCAGAGCGCAGCTGTCTGTGAAAGCCCAATTAAAAAAATAGAAACACATGGCCAGCTTTTTATCTAGTTTAGATGTTGCTTAGTTAGAACATTAATATTCCTTACCAACAATCATTTGTATATAAGGCTGCCTGGTATTATAGTTTAACAATATTTAACATTAAGGTGAAAATTTCACTTGTATAGTCTAACTTTTTATTCTATCCAACAGCCACATTTGCACAGAAGGAGTTAACAATCTGCAAATGGTAGGCTAGAACTAAGCCTCCAGGCACAAATGCCCATGGATTTATTTCTTAAGCACTCTAGAGAATTTAGAATGAAATTTTAAAGAAGTCCTTAAAACTTCTTCAAGGATTCCTCATTGAGAAAAAAGAAAGTTATTCTGTCAGAGGTGTCAATCACTATTAGATCTTCTAAATTATAATATTGGGAAATGTTGGCAGACCATGGAAATGGCAAATTGTAAGATCTAACAAAAACTAGAACTCAATGAGCTATATGTTATTTTGTTAGCATATTTCAGTGATTTCTTGCAATATGATTAGACAGGCTAGGCAAGACTGCCTTGAAAACATAACATGTGCTTTACCCTAAATATGTTTCTGGAGATTTGCCACAATTGCTCCAGCAATTGCTCATCTTTTTAATTACTATATTAAAGCAAGGAATTGGGTTATTTGTGTCTTCAAAAATTCTGTTTGATCCCCTAAAAGCTACCCATATTGCCTATTATTCACAGAATCTGACATTTTACTTATTTAGTTGATTTAAGCATTTGGTGAATGCACAATTTATTCAGAAATAGAGTCTCTTAATGTCCTTCAAGGAATATACCTATGCCAGCCCTTTTTGATTGCCTGAAAAGTTTCGGGCATGCCTGAAAACTAGATTGTGCAGAAAATTGGAAACATCCATTCTTTGATATGAAATTAAGTATTTTATTATTCCACAGGGTTAGCATCACCAACTGCCGTCTCTTCAGTGACATCTCCTTTCTGCAGCAGACTAAAATCAACCTCCTCTATTTCAAAACCCCTGGAAGGTAAGTCGTTAAAATATGTAAGAACAGTTTGAATTATTCTTTTTAAAAAGTTGATTGTTTTTACTTTTATTTTCTTTAGAAATTGAAGCTAGGCCAGATATGCAGTTAGAATCAGACATGAAGTTGGATAAACTGGAAACTTTCTTAGGAAGACTCAACAACAAAGGTCTGTAAAGTCTTAAGAAGGCAGCCTGTCTTTTAATTTGCTGTCCTGCGTAAAGAAATGTACACATTATTCCAATAATGGTCTATGGCCTATATTAAGAATTATAAGTAAAGACTCATAAGCAAAAATGTATTTTCTTAAGCAGATGGATAGCACCTTGTAGGATGTAACATATACATTTAGTTCATGCTTGATAATGTTCATTGTTCAAAATATTCAATGATCTAAATATTTTCATACGTTTTTCACACGTAGAAACTTTTAAGACATATTAACTTGTACTCCCGTAATTCTCCAGCAAATTTGCTAACTGTGGAATGCTGGGAATTGAAGCCCTCACAGTTTCCAAGTTTGAAATACAATGCTTCAAATGGTTTATATATATATATATATATATATATATATATATATA